AAAAAAAAAACAATAACCATGAAGAAACTCCTTCTCCCTCCTCTGCCTCTTCAGCTCCTTCCCCTGTTTCTGCAAATTGCCACCCTACTCTCTGCACCTATCTACACTCCTGTCGACGACATCACCATCAACTGTGGCTCTTCCGGAACCTTATTGAACATGGATGACAACCGGAATTGGACTGGAGATATCAACTCAAAATTCTCCCCCTTTGAATTACGCCAAGCTAACACCAGCATCTCATCCCAAGTAAGAGAAGCACATCCCTCCTCCTCTGTTAGCCAAGTGCCTTACACCACGGCTCGGCTTTCTCTTTCCCAATTTACTTACAAAGTTTCCCTCTCCACCGGGCAGAAGTTTATTCGCTTCTACTTCCACCCAGTTTCATATGGCCCCGGCTTCAACCAATCCAAAGCCCTCTTCTCTGTCCAAGCCGGTGGCTTTACCCTTCTTCAGGATTTCAATGCTTCAGTCACCGCTGATGCTTTTGGGGCCGAGTCGCTAAGAAGAGAGTTCTGTTTGAACATTGATGAAGGACAGAGCTTGACCATCACGTTCACTCCGAGCAGAGCAATCCCAGATGCTTATGCCTTTATCAATGGGATTGAGATTGTGTCCATGCCTACCAATCTTTACTACACTTCTCCTGAAAACCCATATGGGGCGGATTTTGTAGGCAACGAAATCAATTATCGTATTGAAGACAGCACGGCGATGGAGATGGTGTACCGAATAAACATCGGTGGAAGCGGACTCTCATTCGATCAAGACACTGGTATGTAGCGCAATTGGGACAGTGTGGTAGAGGAACAAAAGTACTTGGATCATTTGAGTTCCAGGTGGACTGTTCTTCCACAAAACGTTAGCATTCAACTCAACTTTGTGAGAATACCAGAGTACTCTGCTCCACAAGCAGTTTACCAAACGGGCCGGTCCATGGGCAGCAACCACACCAGAAACAAGAGCTACAACAACTTGACATGGGGATTTCCCGTAGATCCCAAGTTTTTTTACTTGCTCAGGCTTCATTTCTGTGAGTTTGAGCCTGAAATTATGGACACCGGGGACCGATCGTTTCTAATCTATGTGGAGAACCAACTTGCTGAGCCACGAGCCGACATAATCGTGTGGAGTGGTGGAAATGGGAGACCAATCTACAGGGACTACGTCGTGTTCATGCCTGCAGGCCCTGATCAGAAGAAAGTTAAGCTCTTTCTTGCACTGCAAGCAAACCCAAGAGATTGGATGACTAAATACAATGATGTACTCTTGAACGGCCTTGAACTCTTCAAACTCAATGATACAAATGGAAATCTCGCAGGACCAAACCCCGACCCACCTCCAGACCCACCTGCATACATTCCTGTCGATGATATCACCGTTCAATGCGGCTATTCCGGCCAGCTGGTCAATCGGGATGACGGCCGAACCTGGACTGGAGACATAAATTCAACATTTTCACCCTTCGAAGTACACCAATCTTCTTCAAGTTACACATCCCTCGTAAGAGAAGCACCTCCGTCGTCCTCCTTTGCCAGCGGAGCTGTGCCGTACAACAGATCACGGCTGTCTCGCTCTGAGTTTACATACACATTTCCACTCACCACCGGCCAAAAGTTCATTCGTCTGTATTTCTACCCTGTTTCATATGGTGCCGACTTCGACAGCTCCAACGCCCTCTTCACAGTCAAAGCTGGTGGCTTTACCCTTCTCAACGACTTCAACACTTCTCTCACTGCCGATGCTTCTGGGACGGAGACGATATACAGAGAATTATGTGTAAGCATTGAGGAGGGAGAGGAGAGTTTGAACATCACATTCACTCCAAGCAGGGCAAGCCCAAATGCATATGCCTTTATCAACGGCATTGATATTGTATCCATGCCCAGCAATCTTTACTACACTCCAGCTGTTGGCTTCCAAACCAAAGTCCCCATTCAAAACACGACTGCTCTAGAGATGGTGTATCGATTGAATGTCGGGGGACCCTTACTCTTTCCAAAGAAAGATACTGGCATGTACCGCAAATGGGATAGTTATGTTGAGGAGCAAAGTTACTTAGACACTTCAAGTTTAAGTTTGAGCCACGTTCTGCAAAAAAATACTAGTATTGAACTCAACTTTACCACAATTGCAAACTACACTGCGCCAAAAGAAGTTTACCAAAGCGGTCGGTCAATGGGTGCGGACACTAATCTCACCTGGCAATTTCCGGTGGATTCCAAGTTTTTTTACTTGGTTAGGCTTCATTTTTGTGAGTTTCAACCTGAAATCACCGAGGTTAGAGACCGAATTTTTACAATCCGAATGACCAATCTAATCGCTGAACAAGGAGCCGACATAATTGAATGGAGTGGTGGAAATGGGAGACCAGTGTACAGAGACTATTTGGTCGCCATGCCTACCGACCCTGGTGGAACCCGGAAGAAAGTTAACCTCTCTCTCGCACTGCAAGCAAATCCAGATGATGGAATCTTGAATGGGCTCGAAATCTTCAAGCTAGGTGACTCAAATGGCAATCTTGCTGGACCCACCGATTTGACGCCGTCAAGTTCAGTAATACACAACACCAAGTCCAATCGTATACTTGCCATTGCTGCCGGTGTAGCTTCCGGCCTACTCGTGCTCTCTGTCCTTTTTGGATTCCTGATTTTCAGGCGACGACTGAAAGCCAAGTCCTTTGTCTCCATCCACGGGCCAGCCAAGTCAACAGAGACTCGCGGGTCATCTTTACCCCCTTATTTATGTCGTTACTTTCCACTGGCTGAGATCAAAGCCGCCACCCAAAACTTCAATGATAATTTCATCATTGGAGTTGGCGGGTTTGGGAACGTGTACAAAGGCTATATCAACGACGGTGGGGCTACCCCTGTAGCTATCAAACGGCTGAAACCCGAGTCATCACAGGGTGCCCATGAGTTCAAGACGGAAATCGAGCTGCTCTCCCAGCTCCGCCACCGCCATTTAGTGTCTCTCATTGGATATTGTACAGACGACAATGAGATGATCTTGGTGTACGATTACATGGCACGTGGGACCCTCGCCGACCATCTCTACCACAATGATAACCCTCCTCTTTCTTGGGAGCAACGGCTTCAAATTTGTATTGGCGCGGCACGAGGGTTGAGCTACCTTCATACCGGGGCCAAGGGCACCATCATCCACCGTGACGTGAAGAGCACAAACATTTTATTGGATGAGAAATGGGTGGCCAAAGTATCGGACTTTGGATTGTCAAAAATGGGCACTACCAACACGTCCAAGACTCACATTAGTACAATGGTGAAAGGTAGTTTCGGATATTTGGACCCGGAATACTACCGACGTCAACGTCTAACTGAGAAGTCGGATGTGTATTCGTTTGGTGTAGTATTGTGTGAGGTACTGTGTGCAAGGCCGGCTGTGATGCATACAGTGGAGCTGAAGCAAATAAACTTGGCTGAGTGGGCCAGGAATTGTCATCGCGACGGGGAACTTGATCAAATTATTGATCCAAGCATAAGGGGTAAGATTGAAATTCAGTGTCTGAATCAGTTTGTTGAGATTGCAATGAGTTGCATGAATGATAGTGGGATCGAACGGCCGTCAATGAATGATGTTGTGAGGGCGCTTGAGCTTGCATTGCAGCTCCACCGCAACTGCATTGAAAGTAACAATGAGGTTGCCTTCGTCAATGACAGTTCCGCCGCGGAAATTAGAAGTGCTGAGCCAGGTTGCGCTACAGATGAATCCATCAAATGTATATCTGAGACGATCTTTTCTGAGATTAATGATCCAAATGGGAGATAATGGACAGCATTTTTGAATTACCCAAAAAATGTATTTGTATTTGAAACCAATAATGTTGAATGCAAATAAATTACTTGGAGTGACAGAATGCTAAATTTTTGACAAGCAAGTCTTTTATTTAAACATCAGAAAGTAATGGGAATTTTACCAAGTAATTAGAAGGTAATGGGATATATATATATAAATTTTTCTTTGAAATTCATAGTCATCGCTAAGAATGGCAGTAATTATAAAAATTTATTAGGTGTGTGAGTCAGTCTTACTCAAAATGCACCACCCAGAATTAAGTAAATGCATACATGCATTGCACCAGAGATGCCAAATCTTGTTAAAGCATTAATTAAACAAGAAGCCTGGAGTGGGAAATTCTATTGACAGTCAACAATTTCCGGAGATGTTGACTCAGAGACTGCAGAGTACATCCACATGATTTTTGGGCAATTCGTGGAGGATGCGTAATGCCATGAAAGGTAGTATCCTCCGGCGGCTTCAAGTGTTGTCGAGGATTTTCCCTTTGTTAAGTTCACAAAGGAGAAGTTGAAGAATGAAGAAGTGGTCTGTGCTGTTTGTAAAGACAGCATTGCGTCGGAGGATAAGGTCAGGAGCTTACCCTGTTGCCATTACTACCATCAGGACTGCATTGTGCCCTGATTCCGTATACCTTCCAGATGAAAATTTAACTTGTTGGTTCTTCTTGTTCCTTCATTCCTTACATTTTACTCTGCTGCAATGAATTTTAAGGCAATGAACGACTTGGGGGAATAGCAAAATAGGAGATCCAAAGTTGGTGAATTTTAAATGTTCTTCTATGAACGACGTGGAGGTGGAGCTGCTGCTGCTGGCAAAGGCAAATTGTGAGGACTTGTGTTATTATTTGTGAGTTTAAACTCATTTTCTTTGGCTTTGCATTAACATTACCCCCATACCATACATGATGAAAAAGAAATTATATTGTCAGCCATTGAATTTATTTTAACAAAATCAGACGGCTAAGATTAAAAGAGGAAAGAAAAGGATGTGATATGTTTTTGTAGTATAGGATCAGTATACCCAAAAGCAAGCCAAGTTGTGCATGCAAACAATAATGTAACGACAGTTAGAAGACTAGCTTAGCTGATTAAAATCATTGGACGTTTTGGTCAAGTTGTGCTTTTCAGAAAAGAAAACAAAAACAAATTTCTTTTACAAACCACGCAATTTCTCACAAAAATATGCATCTCTTTTTGGGTAACTGGAAAATATTCTATGTTGTTGAAGTGTTGCAAAGGGGTTGCATTCAAATTCTATTCGTATTCTTTGCTGACTGATTGGTTTGACTTATCTTTTTTCAGAGTGAGGAGTTCTATTAGCAAAATATAAACTCACTTGGGCTATAGCCCAGGTTAGTCCCTGATGGTAAATATGTTGCATCATGTTTCATAAGAGAATTTTCATGCCCAATGCTCCTAGTAATGGATTTTTCGGTTCCAATGTCTACCCCTAGTGAGAGGGTTCATGCTGTTTGTTTTTTGTCTTTCTTTAACTTTTTTTCCTGGCTACATCCTGCACGTGAAATCATGAAACATTCAAACATGAAGAAGCAAGCGAGCATGCAAATGCGAGGGGGTCGAGTCTAAAACTAAAATCCTTCTGTGTCATTTCACTGAAATCATGGAAAATATCAAACGAGATAGCTATTCCGTTGTCAAGTAACTAACTCAAGTCTCTATCTTATCACGATGGCTGCCTTACAAGAACCGCAAGGAGAAGAAGATCCACCCTCCAACTCCAAGATCTCAAGCCCAGTTTAATTAAGAAAATAAGGTTCAATTCAAACGAAATAAGAAGGGCGTTTATATCAACAACATTTTATACTTTTCAGTTCAGAGAAAATGAAAAACCTTGGAAAATCAAGAAAAATTACAGAAAACAAAATTTGTTATTAGGAAAATAATTGGCATCCCTAAACTTCAAAGGTTTTTAACACTTGCCAAATTACATGCAAAGCAAAGTTAATTACCCTATCGAAACCCAATTGTTGGGGATTTTTAATCAAGTTCCACAATAATATCTCGCCAAGATATTCCTCTGCCCCATCAATTTTATTTCAATCGATTGTAGTGTTTGTGGTCCTAGTTTATTTTCCTTTCACATCTCTAGTTAATCTCTGTACAAATTCTATATAGTCAGTCTACCACACCCGTCAACTTCTCCACTGGATGTTTGTCATGTGGATGTGGATGATTTGTGGCCTTCATCGATAGAGAGCTGAGAGTCAATTGACACAAAAAGCTTTTCCGGATTCGAGAGCGGCGCAAGAATCCAAACACACGTTGACCGTCTCCTTTAGAGTACTTCCACTCATTTGCAATGGCAAAAGATAAGTGATAGTATTTGCCCTAGCAATCTTTTTTGGCTTTTCCACCCATTGCCGTAGCAACCTAAGGGCAATTACTATTCACATGGGATTAATTTTATTTATATGCATGAAGAACCCAATTATATCAACTCAAAATTCTCCCCCTTTGAATTACCCCAAGCTAACACCGACACCTCATCCCAAGTCAGTGAAGCACTTCCCTCCTCTTCTGTTAGCCAAGTGCCCTACACCCCAAGTGGGGCGGATGGCTGCTAGGGATTTAATTGCTTCTGGCAAATAGATCAATTTGAACAAAATCAGCATTTGTTATATAGTTGAATATGAATTGAACTTAAATTTTCTTTGGGTTGTTAGATTCCAGCTTTAAAAAAAAATTAATATATATTTTAATTAAACTAGAATTTTGATTTTTTTCCTTTGAATAAATATATGATTAATTATATTTTGCAGTGCACTAGTTTGGAGTTCAAATTATCAATCATTATGTGCAATTTCGTAGGATAACTTATTCTTATCAACCATAACTTGGGATTTTAAGTAAAAAAAAATAAAAGTTTGAAATGAGTGCATTTATTTCCAAGTATATATATGGGAATACCATCCTCTTGTGGATCCGTATGCATATGCTTTTCTGTTTCTTAGTTGTATACAAGTGCTTAATTGGTACTTTGCAAACAGATTAATTTGGACAAAATCATGCCCCAAGAATACTAACTAGGCACGTTTTGAATGGGCGCGTGCTTGAAGATAAGACAATGTGTACATTACAGTCCCCAGTCTATTCTCTTATTATCTTGTACAAATTGTAATCCAAAGACTTGTTAATTCTTCAAGTTCACGGCCAACCCAAAAAAGAAGTTTAAGTTGTTATCAAAGTCTCTATTAAATTTGAATGATGTTGATCAAGAATCTTGAATTTAGAGTAGATGCAGCCAAAAGCTTGACTTGGAAAAGTTTTGATGATCATATGTGTATGTCCTCACCTGTGCAATAGAAATTCCAATCAGAGATCCAAACACCCACACATGTCATATCTTTAACTCTCCCTATGTGTATATACATGTATCATGAACATGCATATAATAACCCAAGCATCAAACAAACACCTTGATACAATTACCATGATGAAACCAATTCTCAGCACTCATCTCTACTTTTCCTTGTTTCTGCACATGATCGTCGTCACCATATTCGTTGCCGGCGATTCGCCACCTATTTATAAGCCAGTCGAAGATATCACCGTCAATTGTGGCTATTCCGGTCATGTATTCAATGCATATGATCAGCGAAATTGGACTGGAGATATCAACTCAAAATTTTCACCCTTTGAACACCAAGCAATTGGCAACACATCCATATTCAAAGAAGCACCTCATTCGTACACCGTCCAACAAGTGCCTTACACCACAGCGAGGCTTTCTCACTCTGAATTTACCTACAGATTTTTTAACCTCACAGCCGGCCAAAAGTTCGTCCGTCTGTATTTCTACCCAGCTTCATACCCCGACTTTGATCCCTCCAAAGCCCTCTTCTCTGTCAAAGCCGGTGGGTTTACCCTTCTCCACTACTTCAATGCGTCAGTCACTGCTGCTGCTTCTGGGGAGGAGAGGGTATACAGAGAATTCTGTATGAACATTGATGAAGGACAGAGCTTGACCATCACGTTCACTCCAAGCAGAGCAATCCCAGATGCCCATGCGTTCATCAACGGAATTGAAATTGTATCCATGCCCCCCAATCTTTACTACACTGCATCCGAAAGCCAAGGAGTTGGTTTTGTAGGTTACGAAATCAATTATTCGATCGAAAACAGCACGGCAATGGAGATGGTGTACCGAATCAATATCGGTGGAAGGTCACTGTCCTTTGATCAGGACACTGGAATGTATCGCAATTGGGATAGTGCAGTAGAGGAGTACCATTACTTAGACGATCAGAGTTTAAGGTTTAGTGTTATACCACAAAACGCGAGTATTCAACTCAACTTTTCCACAGTACCAAAGTACTCTGCCCCATCAGAAGTTTACCAAACGGGCCGGTCTATGGGTATGAATAAAACCATAAACAAGAGCTACAATCTCACATGGGAATTTCCTGTAGATTCCATGTTTTGTTACCTGGTGGAAGGTCACTGTCCTTTGATCAGGACACTGGAATGTATCGCAATTGGGATAGTGCAGTAGAGGAGTACCATTACTTAGACGATCAGAGTTTAAGGTTTAGTGTTATACCACAAAACGCGAGTATTCAACTCAACTTTTCCACAGTACCAGAGTACTCTGCCCCGTCAGAAGTATACCAAACGGGCCGGTCTATGGGTACGAGTGAAACCATAAACAAGAGCTACAATCTCACCTGGGAATTTCCTGTAGATTCCATGTTTTATTACCTGGTTAGGCTTCATTTTTGTGAATTTCAATCAGAAGTTACCCAAATCGGAGATCGAGATTTTCTAATCTACATAGCCAATCAAACAGCTGAAAAAAATGCAGATGTAATCTCATGGAGTGGCGGAAATGGGAAACCAGTATACAGAGACTACGTTGTGTTCATGCCTGCAGACCCTGAAAGCCAGAAGAAAGTAAATCTCTTTCTCACGCTGCAAGCAAACCCAAATGATTGGAACACTAGATACAACGATGCAATCTTGAATGGTCTCGAAATCTTCAAAATAAATGACTCTAATAGCAATCTGGCAGGACCCAACCCCGATCCACCTCCATACACTACAAACAGTACTACATACAATCCTGCCAGTGATGTCACCCTTCAATGCGGCTATTCCGGCAAGCTATTCAATCGGGATGACGGCCGAAATTGGACTGGAGACATAAATTCAACATTTTCTCCCCTTGAAGTACACCAAGCTCAAGCTGCTTCAAGTTACACATCCCTAGTAAGAGAAGCATCTCTGTTGTCCTCCTTTCCCGGTGGAGTGCCAATTGTGCCTTACAAAAGAGCACGGCTGTCTCTCTCTGAATTTACATACACATTTCCACTCACCACTGGCCAAAAGTTCATTCGTTTGTATTTCTACCCAGCTTCATATGGTGACGACTTTGACCGCTCCAACACCCTCTTCTCCGTCAAAACTGGTGGCTTTACTCTTCTCCACGACTTCAACACTTCTCTCACTGCCGATGCGTCTAGGATGGGGACGATATACAGAGAATTTTGTGTAAGCATTGAGGAGGGAGAGGAGAGTCTGAACATCACATTCACTCCAAGCGAGGCAAGTCCAAATGCATATGCCTTTATCAACGGCATTGAAATTGTATCCATGCCAGCAATCTTTACTACACTTCTCCTGAAAACCCAGATGGGGCTGATTTTGTTGGCAACCAAGTCAACTTCCGCATTAAAAACACGACTGCTCTAGAGATGGTCTACCGATTGAATGTCGGGGGACCTGCACTCTTTCCCAAGAAAGATGCTGGCATGTACCGCAAATGGGATAGTGATGTTGAGGAGCGAAGTTACTTAGACACTTCAAGTTTAAGTTCAAGCCACGTTCAACAAAATACTAGTATTGAACTCAACTTTACCACAATTAAAGACTACACTGCGCCAAAAGAAGTTTACCAAACCGGTCGGTCAATGGGTGCGGGCACTAATCTCACCTGGCAATTTCCGGTGGATTCCAAGTTTTTATACTTGGTTAGGCTTCATTTTTGTGAGTTTCAGCCTAAAATCACCAAGGTTAGAGACCGAATTTTTACAATCCAAATAGCCAATCTAACCGCAGAACAAGGAGCCGACATAATTGAATGGAGTGGTGGAAATGAGAGACCAGTGTACAGAGACTATTTGGTTTCCATGCCTACCGACCCTGGCGGAACCCGAAAGAAAGTTAACCTCTCTCTCGCACTGCAAGCAAATCCAAATGCTGGAATCTTGAATGGGCTCGAAATCTTCAAGCTAAGCGACTCAAATGGCAATCTTGCTGGACCTACCGATTTGACTCCGTCAAGTTCAGTAAAACACAACACCAAGGCCATTGCTGCCGGTGTAGCTTCCGGGGTACTTGTGCTCTCTGTCCTTTTTGGATTCCTGATTTTCAGACAACGATGGAAAGCCAAGTCCTTTGTCTCCATCCACGGGCCAGCCAAGTCAACAGAGACTTGCGGGTCATCTTTACCCCCTTATTTATGTCGTTACTTTCCACTGGCTGAGATCAAAGCCGCCACCCAAAACTTCAATGATAATTTCATCATTGGAGTTGGCGGGTTTGGGAACGTGTACAAAGGCTATATCGACGACGGTGGGGCTACCCCTGTAGCTATCAAACGGCTGAAACCCGAGTCATCACAGGGTGCCCATGAGTTCAAGACGGAAATCGAGCTGCTCTCCCAGCTCCGCCACCGCCATTTAGTGTCTCTCATTGGATATTGTACGGACGACAATGAGATGATCTTGGTGTACGATTACATGGCACATGGGACCCTCGCCGACCATCTCTACCACAATGAGAACCCGCCTCTTTCTTGGGAGCAGCGGCTTCAAATTTGTATTGGTGCGGCACGAGGGTTGAGCTACCTTCATACCGGGGCCAAGGGGACCATCATCCACCGTGACGTGAAGAGCACAAACATTTTATTGGATGAGAAATGGGTGGCCAAAGTATCAGACTTTGGATTGTCAAAAATGAGCACTACCAACACGTCCAAGACTCACATTAGTACAATGGTGAAGGGTAGTTTCGGATATTTGGACCCGGAATACTACCGACGTCAACGGCTAACTGAGAAGTCGGACGTGTATTCTTTTGGTGTAGTATTGTGTGAGGTACTGTGTGCAAGGCCGGCTGTGATGCATACAGTGGAGCTGAAGCAAATAAACTTGGCTGAGTGGGCCAGGAATTGTCATCGCGACGGGGAACTTGATCAAATTATTGATCCAAGCATAAGGGGTAAGATTGAAATTCAGTGTCTGAATCAGTTTGTTGAGATTGCAATGAGTTGCATGAATGATAGTGGGATCGAACGGCCGTCAATGAATGATGTTGTGAGGGCGCTTGAGCTTGCATTGCAGCTCCACCGCAACTGCATTGAAAGTAACAATGAGGGTGCCTTCGTCAATGACAGTTCCGCCGCGGAAATTAGAAGTGCTGAGCCAGGTTGCGCTACAGATGAATCCATCAAATGTATATCTGAGACGATCTTTTCTGAGATTAATGATCCAAATGGGAGATAATGGACAGCATTTTTGAATTACCCAAAAAATGTATTTGTATTTGAAACCAATAATGTTGAATGCAAATAAATTACTTGGAGTGACAGAATGCTAAATTTTTTACAAGCAAGTCTTTTATTTAAACATCGGAAAGTAATGGGAATTTTACCAAGTAATTAGAAGGTAATGGGATATATATAAATTTTTCTTTGAAATTCATAGTCATCGCTAAGAATGGGAGTAATTATAAAAATTTATTAGGTGTGTGAGTCAGTCTTACTCAAAATGCACCACCCAGAATTAAGTAAATGCATACATGCATTGCACCAAAGATGCCAAATCTTGTTAAAGCATTAATCAAACAAGAAGCCTGGAGTGGGAAATTCTGTTGACAGTCAACAATTTCCGGAGATGTTGACTTAGAGACTGCAGAGTACATCCACATGATTTTTGGGCAATTAGTGGAGGATGCGTAATGCCATGAAAGGTAGTATCCTCCTGCGGCTTCAAGTGTTGTCGAGGATCTTCCCTTTGTTAAGTTCACAAAGGAGAAGTTGAAGAATGAAGAAGTGGTCTGTGCTGTTTGTAAAGACAGCATTGCGTCGGTCCGTCGGAGGATAATGTCAGGAGCTTACCCTGTTGCCATTACTACCATCAGGACTGCATTGTGCCCTGGTTGGGCATTCGAAATACATGCCCGGTTTGCCGGTGAGGGCTGCCGACAGATGATCCTGATTATGAAAGGAGCAAGTGTGAAAGGGCTACCCGTGGCGAGCCCGGCGATTCAGAGGTCAGGTTTGAGTTCGGGTTTGAGCAATTTGTGTGAGATGTTTATATAGCTATATATACTCTTGGTTTGCTGAGTGTAAAAATTGTAAATAGGCGTTTTTCGGGCAGTCTCATATCCAATGATGAAATGAAGCTTGTATTGGTTGTGAACATTTTATAGCTTTGGTTAATTTGGTGGAATTTCTAAGTTTAATAACTTGCTTCTTGTTGGTGTTACTTGAGGTCTTAGTAGTGTTTATGCAGCAAAATTGAGACTTGAGGTCTTAGAAGTTTGAAGAAGTATGTTTAGAGTCTAGAACTTTGCACCAAAATATTTAATAAAGAGAGATATAACCTTGTAAATATTGGGTTTTTTTGTTTCTGGGATTTAGGATCCAAAGTAGAAGATCCAAAGTTGGGTTTTTTTGTCTCTGCTGCAATGAATTTGAAGGCAATGAACGACTTGGGGGAAAGCAAAATAGGAGATCCAAAGTTGGTGAATTTTAAATGTTCTTCTGTAATGTTCTTCTATGAACGAAGTGGAGGTGGAGCTGCTGCTGCTGGCAAAGGCAAATTGTGAGGACTCGTGTTATTATTTGTGAGTTTAAACTCATTTTCTTTGGCTTTGCATTAACATTAACCCCATACATGATGAAAGGGAGCCCAACATTTTAGACAGGAGATTCCTTTCGATGGGTGTCATTTTCTATATATATATTTTGTTTTAAGTGAAAAAGAAATTATATTGTCAGCCATTGAATTTATTTTAACAAAATCGGACGGCTAAGATTAAAAGAGGAAAGAAAAGGTTGTGATATGTTTTTATATTATAGGATCAGTATACCCAAAAGCAAGTCAAGTTGTGCATGCAAACAATAATAAAAACTCACTTGGGCTATAGCCCAGGTTATTCCCTGATAGTAAATATGTTGCATCAATGTTTCATATCAGTTGTATCTGAACCAAATTAATTGAATGAAAAATTAGGGGCAATGAGTCGTTTACTCGGGTTACGTTTATTGTAGTTGTTTGTCCCATGATCATTCTAGAAGATTTCGTATTGTAAAATTTTAATAAATTGCAACTTTGTTAGGAATTATGAATCAAATACAATTGTCCTATGTTGGAGAATAAGTTGTGCATAAAAGGATAAGGGGTAGTTCTCCTTATATTGCACCGTTACCTTTTGAGATAAAACTCGAGTCAAGTTACATTCCTTACACAAGAACAATGCAAATAGAGACAGGTCATGGATAGTTGAATATTACATCCAAAATCTCGTGGAAAGAACTAATTAGGAGTGAGTTGTATCCACTCTAAACATTTGCTATAGGGTGAAGAAAGATCACCTGGTAATTGCTCCTAGAAATATTCATCACATAAGAGAATTTTCATGCCAAATGCTCATAGTACTAGAATTTTTCGGGAATGTCCACCCTAGCTAGTGAGAGGGTTCTTGCTGTTTGTTTTTTGTCTTTCTTTAACTTTTTTTCCTGGCTACATCATGCACATAAAATCATGAAACATTCAAACATGAAGAAGCAAGCGAGCATGCAAATGCGAGGGGGGTCGCAGCTTGTTTGGACGAGTCTAAAACTAAAAGTCTTTTGTGCCATTTCGCCAAATCATGGAAAATATCAAACGAGACAGCCATTCCGCTGTCTAGTAACTCAATTCCCACACACAACCAAGTTCCACAATAATATCTCGC